TGTTTTTCATGAATCAACGCTTATTCATTGTATCTATAACTTAAACTATTGTGTTAATGTCTTTTCGAAATCAAAGCCTTTTCTTAATTAGATACAACCAATTAAGAGATCATTTGAGCCTTGAGCACTTTACAATATTCTAAGTTTGTAAGAGAATGATAATCCCTTACTTCATGATAAGTACTCGCTAACGCTCGTACTTAATCATGAAGAAAGGGATTATCATTCTCTTACATATACGAAGTAAGGGATTATCATTCTCTTACAAACTTAGAATATTGTAAAGTGCTCAAGGCTCAAATGATCTCTTGATTGGTTGTATTCAAGAATTAGTGTCTTTGTCAGTGCAATGTTTATAATTGATGCATGACTTCCCTTTTTGGCATTTCATTTATGAATTAGTTTTAGTGATGTAAGGACATTCTTATAATTTGGGAAATATTAAAAAAAATGCGTTATAGACATTAGGTGACAACAGTCCAAAGAAAAGGTAGGAATTGTATATGTTTCCTGATTGTGAGCATGAATGTATATCATGTAATATTTTAGTGAGGAATTATCCTTTTTTTATTTACAGTTTAAATAAATAACTATATTGGAGTTACAACTAATTTTATGTTCACAGCCAATATTTTGGTCCGGCTTCTTAAATCAAATACTATTTCATTATAACAGGGGAATGTTCAAATAAAATGCCTTTAAAAGTTTTAAATATATTCAAAACTTAAATTAAATTCCTTTTTTTTTAATTTTAACGGAATATTGGAAATAACTATTCTTCCCAACCACTAGTCCAGTTATCAGAGTTTTTGAAAGCTAAAGATTAAGGTTGTTTTTGATTTTAAAACTTTTTTTTCTTTATTTTTTCTTTTTTTGCATTGCTTTGATATTGTTTATTTTTTTAGTAATTTAAAGTTATTAATATTTTCATAATAACATTAAAGGTACCAGTTTTACTGCACCAGTAGACTTCAACTTATTTTGATTTTTTTGTTTCACAATTCAACTTTAAGTCAGTTTCAATCACTTTGTGATAAATCCTTTCAATCTGATAAATTTGCTTCGGGGCAGTTGTAAACCATTTATAGAAACTCTTTGTTTTGAACTGTAAATAGACCCAAATAATAGGATAATCCCTTACTAAGAACATGATTTACATTCATTATTCACAATTAAGAGACATCAAATCCTACAATTTCATTGGTCGAGAGCACTTTGCTATATTCTAAATTAGAGAAGATAACAGTAATCGTGAACCATGCAATCCCGAGTTTCGTACAAGTACCAAAACATAAAAGATGAATGCTTATAATGGGCTCATATTAGAACTAGGGTGTCATCTGGAATAACCAATCTACATGTAGCAAAAAATATCACACGTGAGACTGAATTGTGCAGGATTAATACAATGTGGTTCCTATGCATTATGTTAAAATTTAAAAAAAAATATTAAAATTAAAAAAAAAAAAAGTTTTAATCATTGCAATTGTGCACAGCAATCATGGTGAATACAGTTAACGTGTACGTTTTTTAACGGCACAAGAAACTTGATTTTAGACATCATGTTATAAAAGTATAATACGTACACATACTCATACACCTGATCTGACAATACACTTGAAATCTCTGCAATACTCATATTTACAAACATTCACACAAAACCTTATTGGAGAAAAAAAAATATGGTACACTTGATGAAATACCCTGTCAGGTGTTGGTATTTGATCAAGAAGAACGTTCTCTAGCATTTTCAGAAAGAGACAAAAAAGTATACGGGATCAGATTATGCAGTAATAGTTTAAGGCTTGCTTAATTCCAACCTAAAAAAATCAGCAGAAGCACTTCTTCACATCAAAGTTGGGATTAATTGATTTAATAATTTGAAACATTTCTCAAAGTTATGTAACTTGTATTATTTAATCGACAGACTAATTTATATAATTTCTGAACAAGTTTTTCTCAGTAAGTATTTGAAAAGTATATTATGGTCAGGAATATGGATAAGTCAATCAGGATAGGTCAGGATAGGTCACGTTTATCTTGTGGTATTAAGAAATTATATATATATAAATAATGCATTCAAAATAAAATACAAGCCACACTCAATCTATGAAAATAGTATAAAAAATTAACCAAAGCGTTCTTTTAAATATACATATAAAAATAAGAAGATGTGGTATAATTGCCAATGAGACAACTCTCCACCAGAGACAAAATAACATAGAAGTTAACAACTATAGGTCACCGTACGGATTTCAACAATGAGCAAAACTCATACCGCATAGTCAGCTATAAAAATGTAATACAATAATTATGGAAACAGTGATTGAATGTGAACTAACATCCTTAAAAACGATACTAACAAAGACGGACTGTATCATTTACTTAAGGTCAAGGAACAGTAAATTGGCTATGTTACAAATTTTGGTAAAACTTTGCATACAACTTTGGCTCATTGAACTATATCTATAAATTCAAAAAATAATGCATTTATCTCTGTAGTTATCTTAAATATCACTCATTGAATTTTCTAAAACTAGATAAACGTTTGTATAAAAACCACACAAAATCGACGAAAAACGTACTTTAATAATTATGTCTTTAAAACATCAAATTTCCAATTTTAAATCCAAAAATTTCTCTTCAAAAATACATGTTGGCTACAGGAACTTCCATTTCGATGATGTGAATTGTTAATAGATTCACCTACCTAAACAAATGTGAAATGATTGGTGAGCACTAAAAAGTAAGTACTGATTCGATGGGGAAATAAATCAAAATCTGAAGCACGGGGAGACAGTAGAGTGCCTCCCCGTGCTTCAGGTTTATGCTTTTATAATATACAAGATAATGGAGTGTGTGTCCGAGCGAGAACTTCTCTATGTTCCTTACTTTAGGAGCCTTCGACTGTTTTCTGCTCTTTGGTCGGGTTGTTGTCTCTTTGACACAGTCCCCATTTCCGTTCTCAATTTTACAGTCTATGAAACACACTGAAAAACTAGAGGATCCAAGGAGCCTGTGTCGCTCACCTAATATTTTTGTTTACAATTGATGCATGAAATAATGCAACCATTATACTTTTGCTTTAGTTTTAGAGATATAAGCCAAATACTGCATTTTGCCCCTTTCTTTTTTTAGCCATGTCGGCCATGTTGGTTGGCAGGCGGGGTCATCGGACACATTTTTAAAACTAAATACCCTAATGATGATTGTGGCTAAGTTTGGTTAAATTTGGCGTAGTAGTTTCAGAGGAGAAGATTTTTGTAAAAGTTAACGGACGACGACGACGACGGACGACGGACGACGGACGCCAAGTGATGAAAAAAAGCTCACTTGGCCTTTCAGGCCAGGTGAGCTAAAACAGTACTATTTACAGTAATGCAAAAATCAGTATTGTTACAGAACTGAAAAACTCAGTATTGTTACAGTACTGACAAACTCAGTACTGTTACAGTACTGAAAAACTCGGTACTGTTACAGTACTGAAAAACTCGGTACCGTTACAGTACAGCAAAAATCAGTACTGCTACAATATAGAAAAAAAAATCAGTACTGTTACAGTACTGTAGAAATCAGTACTGCTACAGTACTGAAAAAAATCAGTACTGTTACAGTACAGCAAAAATCAGTACTGTTACAGTACAAAAAATATCAGTACTGAATTTACCAAAAGTAGAACATTACAATTTCATCATGTAGCCGTTCACTTCTGATTTACAAAAGGGTAGAAATGTACAATAAACGTGTGGTATAATTATTGGTAGTGTATGCTATCCAAATGACGTCATTAATAATAACTTATCGGACGCCATTTTGGATTCTCTAGATAGCATGATAGTTTAGGCTATCTAGATCTTTTTAGTGGCTAGGCTAGCTATACGTTCAGTAGTCAAAATCGACGTAGACCTATGTAGCTGCTAGGATATTGAACTCACCCCAGGTACCGAATACTCATACTGTTAGTTTATTCAATCCAGATCCTTATCTTCCTTGTATATTTTTTGTATCTCCTTTCCGTAAGACATCCCGAATTCTTCTACTCATTTAAGCCAATAGAATCTAAGCAGCATCATTTCGAAACCAATCAGAACTAACTTTTGTTATTTTAAAGATTCAAGATGGCATTTATATGGTATTAAACTAATAGATTAGCATCGTGATGCGAAACAAATAGGGCCTTAATAAGACATACAAAATCGTGGAATAGTTAAAACCTTAAGTCTGATTACAAGCACAAAATTTAAGAAGTTGAAATTATGTTTTTACCTAAGCACCAACTAATAAGCGCATGGGTCCCGCGGGAACTCATATTCCATCCTCAGTGGTACAAAAAAAAAAATACCGACAAAGAAGTAATGACATCCTTGACAAAGACCATTAAATTAATGTTGCCATATCTTAGGCCGCCATTTTCTGTCTTTCATCTTTATTATTTTGGGATTTTATATTCTGACGTTTGATCTTTTGTTTTGAGAGGTCGTACCTCAAATGACCTCATTTTTGTATTTCATGCCTCGCAACATTAATTTTATTTTGTAAGTTACATATTTTATAAAGGGAATACACTCTATTTTAAGGCGAGGATTTATATTTGCACTGTCTATTGTCTGTAGTGTCAAACTTATTTTTCTTTTAGGTCACGGGATGCTTCAATTTAATAATTTTTACAATGATATTTTGTGAAACACATTCTTTGATATAACATATATCATCTATATTTTCTATTGTATGGTTCATCATGAGACAAAAATTGATCCAATTTAATGAAACGTAAAAGTGCTTAGAAAATTCCATTTCCATTTTAAAACAATTTGTAATAATTAAGCGGAACATTAAGCGGTTATGTTGAAATATGAAAATATCAGAAATATTCAGTAACCTGATATTTAGACATTCAAGCAATATAGACAATATAAAAAAATGTCAGTAAAATTATGTATGAGTAACTTCATCACAAATGATTACAAAACAAGATAGCAATTAAATGTAAATGGTAATAACCAATAATTATGTCTATGAATATGTAATCATATGTACATTTGATATTCATAACTTGTACTAAATTTTTCCGTTTCTTTTAATATCATCTAAGTTGGAGAAATCTGTGTAATTCAAGGTATGATTTTAATACTTTTATTATTAATATACCACAATCACGGCCAAATGCAGCAATATCCGCGAAAAAAAAACTATTGTTACAGAACCCTCATTGTGAACATTTGACCACATCTGGTTGGCATGGTGAATGACATTGGAAAGACGGATATCCTTCCGAACAAGAAAACAGCTGCAATTGTTGGAGCATATATAAAAAATGATATGGTTAAATACTACTACAGTGAATTTTCCTGACAGTATTGAAAAATAATAAAACATGGTTTATATATTAATCGAAATGGGCTTTGAACGATCTTTCAGGAACTGCAAATACTCTTAGGTCGGTAATTTGTGTTGTTTTTTTTTGGGGGGGGGGGGGGGGGTTCATTTTTCTGGTGTGCTTCGTGTCGATATAATAAGTCAATGCCTTTACTTTATTTTTTACAGTTTTTTCTTGTATTGTGCTGTTATAGCACTGTCAGAGGGTTTTGTAGGTTGTTGTGTGCCATATTTGTTTTAGTGTAAATCAGACCGTTGGTTTTTCCCTTTTCAATTGTTCGCCGTTCGTATTATAGTTTTTTACATTCTCGTCTCATTGTCAATCATACGGAATCTTTTTTTGTGATATAATAGTTACTGCAAGACTTTAAATCTCATCAAACCCGATTATCTTTATCGTGGAATGAATGGAAACATCGAAAGAATTTGAAATTGTATCATTTATTTTAAAAGATAAGAGGAGCCTATATTTCTCTCCTTGCATTTATGCATAACACTAACGCCAGCTGTATACCAGCATTGATCTGAAAATCAGCAACGTAAAAGTATGTTCTTGAGAGGTAGACAGTAAAATTTAACATGACTTTGGTCTAAGACCCAATTGTGACTGTTCGTGATCAGTTTTGTAGTTAAAATGCCTTTAAAAAAAATCATGATTGTATCAAAAGAGTTATAGGATAAATTTTCCCTGAAGTTATTTTACAACAGGGCCATTTTCAACACATCTTTCAAGCTTATCCACGTGCTTAAAAAATCGTATTTCTAATATAAATTCTACAGCAGCCTATCAAAATTACTCTACTACATTTAGCACTGTGTACAATTGTGTCAAAGGAGGCAGTGCCTCTGCAGCCAGATTGTTAAACAAAAATGCACGTGGATATCCACAAATTTTCCCGTGCAATGCCAGAAAATGACTGAACTGTTTCAGATTAACTGCACACAATACGGTTAGGTCAACAGTGAACGGGAGAGCTTTTTCGCTCTCCTTTTCCTGTGACATTACCTGAAAACCCCAAAACCTTATTTATTTGGTAACTTGAACCCAGCCTAAGTGTGGTATTCATTATGTGGGACAGACGGGACGAGAATATTACAGAAGAAATCAAGAGCACCTTTACCGCTTTCGAAGACCTAAAACATTCAACAGTTTGATATACCAACATTTAGATAAACATAATCACAATCTAAAATTCATAAAATTCCAAACGCTTGAAACCGTTCCGAAACAACCAGGACATTCACACAAACAATTTGAAAAATTCCACGAAGTTCGCGAACTATATTAGATAAAAAGACTTAAAACAGCTTATATTTTCGGTCTCAATGCCAAAATATTGGGACAGGGGAACATATCAAAAACTTCTATCGATGTCATGAATATTGTCGATAAACGGCTAAGAAATAATAGGTTTCATGGTAAACGAAAAAACCATAATCTACGTATTAATCATCGTATAAATTATTATACACTTGCTGATCTGTTATCTATAATAAAAAATAATGGTACATCAGTTATTATGCAAACTTGGCCATATACCAATAAGTAAACTATATGATATTTTTCTGGAGTGTGATGAAATTTCATTTTTCAGCCCGTTGTATGAAAACACTCGTATTATGACAGCCTTTTGTCATCACAGGCTGTTTTCTAGTATCAATAAACCTGAATGTCATAAACGGCATTTTTTTAAATTAAAATATATAAATAGAGGTATTGATTTTATTAACTTATCTAGTATATTCATTGACTCTACCATCCATAGCCAAATACCTCCATATTTTGATAATACAGAACCACCTATTATTTCGTATTCGTACAAAAAAACAGCAGAAGTTTGATTTTTAAGTATACGTCAGTAACATCAGACGTCAATATAGAAAATAGTGCTCCTTCAACTTGAGACTGTGAAACATCTAGTTTTAGATATGTTCCCTATGGTCATGTCATTACAGGAGACCTCGACATCGTTGAAGACCGTGAGGTCAAAACTTTTCTTAAGAAAGGACCTAAATATCGTCCTCCATCTATTATAGATTGGAAGCAGTGTCGTCAGGTCATTAAAGACGCTCTGTCTGCCTACTGTAAAAATTGTTGTAAACGTGAAAAATCTGATAAAAATCTTTAGACAGTTATTTGAATAAAATTATGAATACTGTTGATATTCGTATATCTCATTTTGAAAACAATTCTGAAATTAATAATAGGGTTCATGGTATACCCATTTCTAGAATAAAAATAAACGCCAAGTACTCGCAAAGCGGTTTGTGTTCGTACCGGCAGACAAAGCAGCCAAAAATGTAGTGGAGGTGTGACGCATATACTACACAAAAGTTCTCCAAAAAGAAATTATCAATTCTTCTACATTCAGGTCCGTACGTTCCACAGAGAGTCAAATTGTAAACATGCATATCACTGCCACTACCCAGCTTAATGCCTCTTCCGAACATTTGAAAGTCCCGACTATGTGCTGGTTACCTAAATTACACAAACAACCATTTAAATTTCGTTTCATCTCCGTATCTAGTAAGTGTTCTACTACTAATCTGCCAGTGATTCTAACTACCTCCCTTAATACTATCAAAGAACTTGTTATTAACTTTTGTAATGAAGTTTATGAAAATAATGGTATTAATTATTTTTAGAGTGTTCAAAATTCTTTAGAAGTTTTATATAAAATACGTGCTTTTGATGATCCTTTTAATTCTGTTGACAGTTATGATTTTTCTACTCTCTACACTACACTTCCACACATACTTATCAAGAATCAAATTTCATATTTAATTAAATGGTCTTTTGAAAAATCTCATTGCAAATTTATTTGCTGTAACTCGTTTAAAGCCTTTTTCTTCCACGAAAAAGGAAAGTATGCTAGATACACTTACTGGAAATGTGAAGATATGATTGAAGCTATTAATTTTCTCCTGGACAACATACCGTCATTGTGTTATGATAATTTTTGTATTCTTGTCTTTCATTTTTGCTAATGTGCTTTGCCTATATGCCTTTTTGTGTTTCTTTGTTACATATTTATTTGTTTTTATAGTGATTAAGATTATAACACAATGCTGACTGCTGTACCCCAATTTTTGACATTTTTACCTATTGTGTCTATTTGTTTTGTTCACACATCGTTGTCAATATAATGGAATTTTATGCAACTTTCTTGCAAGTGAGAGGTTTAGCTAGCTATAAAACCAGGTTTAATCCCCCATTTCTACATAAGAAAATGCCTGTACCAAGTCAGGAATATGACGGTTGTTATCCATTCGTTTGATGTGTTTCAGCTTTTGGTTTTGCCATTTGATTAGGGACTTTCCGTTTTGAATTTTCCTCGGAGTTCAGTATTTTTGTGATTTTACTTTTTATATATGTACGTTTCGGCGATAAAGTGTTTCGACAGGTACACATGTAGACGGTATTCCTATGGGCACTAATTGCGCCCCTTCAATAGCAGATTTATTCCTGTATTGCTATGAATCACAGTTTATGGCCAAACTCACTAAAGACACGTCATTGTTACATTTGGTTGACACATTCAACAATACCTACCGTTATCTTGATGATATTTTGTCGTTAAATAATCCAGAGTTCTCTAAATATACTATCGAAGTTTACCCAAAGGAACTTACTTTAAATAAATCTAACTTAAACAGTAGTAGTTGTCCTTTTCTAGATTTAGACATTTCAATTCCTAAAGGGAGACTCCATACTAAATTTTACGACAAAAGAGGCGATTTTCCTTTCGCTATTGTTAATTTTCCTTTTTTTAGATGGCGATGTTCCTTTGGCTCAATGCATCACTGGAAAATTATTAAGTCAGGGATTTCGGTACCATAGATTACTTAAAACATTTACTAAATTCCTTCATAGATACAAAGATTTGATTAGTAAATTTGGCTGAAAACTTATTAAAAACGGTATTTCAAATCCTAAATTTTACGGTAATATTGTACTAAAAGCGAGAAAATCACTATGTGATCCGTGTAAACTCATCGTACCTTCAAAAAAACTTATTAGTAAAGGTTATCTTACTAATGTTGTAATGAGACCTTTGAATATTGTTTACATTGGCACTAACATCGATTTTGTCATCAACAAATTAAAACATAACTAAATTTGTATTATTTTCGAATGCTTTTTTGGGATGTATAAATACACATCCACGTTTATTTTCTATTTAGAGATTGCTTTATCTATATATAACATGATACATCTTTATTATAAGGTTAAATCCTAACGATCCTACTGCCTGTCGATACTTTTATTTTGGCATTGAACAAGTCATATCTTCTTTGACTGTCCATGGCGTTAACACACTAAATCCCTGGGATATGTTTTAATTGATTTTAGTCTCTGATGCATGATTTTTTTTATTATTAATTGTTTTTGGCTTTTTACTAGCTTTCAGTAACTGCGAGTACACTCAAATTGTACTTTCGTGTTAATTTGACCTGTTGACACAATTTGTAATGCATTTTTGTTATTCAATGTTTACTTATTTTGTGTTATATCTCGTCTCACTTTTTTTGATATGTACCACCTTTGATAAGTATTTAGTATGACGATAAATTTTCACTTCTGTACTCGTACTGTGAACAACAAATTTATTTATTTTTTGTAAAAAATATTTCCGTACTCCTAACAACAAAATTATAATATTTAAATTTACCTGTGTACGTTATTTTATTTAACGCCATTTTGTCCTAGGTTAGAGTTGTCTTTCTGACATTGTTTTACATCTTTTTTATTAACATTGTATTTATATTGTGGCATAGATCAAATTTATTCGTTCAGTGTATGTTTACTTGTTTTTGTTTATATATCTTTTGATCGAGTTAAGCCATTTCGATTGATATTTTACAGGTGTCTTTTTATGTTGTAATGTTACACTACTGTTTCAGGTTAGGGTGAAGGTTGGCGCCTGTTAAAACGTTTAAACCCGCTGCATTTGTATGCACCTGTCCTAAGTCAGGAGCCTGTTGTTCAGTGGTTGTCGTTTGTTGATGTGGTTCATAAGTGTTTATCTTTTCTCGTTTATAATATAGATTAGACAGTTGGTTTTCCTGTTTGAATTGTTTTTACACTAGTCATTTTGGGGCCGTTTATAGCTGGCTGTTCGGTGTTAGCCAAGGCACCGTGTTGAAGGCCGTAAAAAATCTATAATAATTGTTTACTTTTTACACATTTGGGTGGAGAGTTGTCTCATTGGCACTCATACCACATCTTCTTATTTATATTTTCTAGTCATATTACACCAGTATTACAACCCAGTGTATGTATTTTAAAGTTCTAACAATAATATGACTTAGTTCTTAATATATCACCAAATTATAAATGCCCATAGATAGACAAAAACCGCAATTTTGGCAAATTTTGAGTATTCATCGCCTGTATAAGAAACAAGTTAGAAGCACATCGTTTATCCAAACCAAAATATGTTCTAGGCAAAGCTATGTTTTGTCTTTTTAAGCGTTTCAAATCTGACAAAAAATGTAAAACTTGCAATTTTGTATCAAAATTCCTTCAATAGCAATATGGAGCGTCTTATAGCATTTTTACTGTATGAGGATATCTACGAATGTGAAACATGTTTTAAGTAGTCTATTATAGTATATAGAATGTTTAATATTCAATTTCCAGTTTGTAACTCTGTGAGTGGAACCAATAAAGGGGAAATTGTTTCAACCGTTTTGTTGGCAACCAATTCACTAACGAAAGAATTTTTCACCTTTATTATCATGGTTTTCCATCAGAAATCTTTCAAAGGATCATTAATAATGTTTGGAAGAATTATTTTTAAAGATTTCTTTTAATTATTTTTTTTTGTATCATTGGCAACCATGCTAAAGGGTGATTTCGGCAACAAACTCAGTCTTAATTAGAGAAGATAATTAATGGTACCATTTACTCTAAATATACTAGCAATTGTTTTTATGTGAATATTTTGTGAAGTTTTAAAATGTTTTTGACAGTGGCAGCCAAGTTTGACGCCAGTTGGAATCCTCAATCATTTTTATTTCCTAAAATTTGGTAGCAATATTGGCCTTCATAGCTTTACCGGTACTAACTGTATTGCCTCTAATACGCATTTAGACAAGTAATGTGTTTTCAGTCATGATAGTGTCTATAACCCTGTATTTATTCGATGTGATATAACGAAGTTTGAACAAAATATATCGAAAATTTGAACGAATTCATCATTAAAATTTGCAGATAAGTTTTGGGATATGAAGTCCTAATACAATCACAAAATATTTACTTATGCAGTTCCTTTTAAGAATCATCTGCCTTATAATTTTTTGACATTTTTTAAAGGAAAATGAAGCTTCTACATCTGTTAGTTATAACGATCACAGCACATGCAATACATGCTGACCCTGTCATTGAATATTGCTGGACAGAGTTTAAAGGAAAATATGAATATATTCAGTTTGGAAGAGAGTTATGGTTGGATCCATGTTATTTTTGTTGGTGCTATGAAGGCGGAAACCCAGAGGACCGTCCAACAAGAGCCGGATGCAATACGGTAGATTGTCCATTCATAGAATGTCCTTCTGGAACTGAATTACAACCAATCAAGAACAAATGTTGCCTCGAGTGCATGGCTATTTAGTGTCAAGTTAAAGAATCTCTTTAATATTGAAACCTTAAAGAGTTGTTAAAGTTAATATGTTTGAATAAAAAGTGTATAGTTATCATATTATTCTCAAAGCGTATCTTTATGAGTATCTGGTGACTCTCGGTTTGATTTTAAGGAAGCATTGTGAAGCCTAATGCTTTCGGTGATATATGTACGCCGTTGTTACCGAAAAAACTTTAAAATTCTTAAAATGGCATGTAAAATTTTTCTAATCACAGTTTTTAAATATCTGGCTTCCGATGCGATCATGACGATATCTCCAAAAGCCATACAGTTCAGAAACGAGTGTCATAGCATATTGATAAAATGAATTTTTCCATTGAAATTACGTATTTTCCACGAATTATTAATTGTAAATTTCTAAACCATGACCCACAGACAATCAATAAAAATTAATTATATCCTAGTTGTTTGAAACCGACAAAGCATTCCTGTAGGAAATGAAATAACACTTAATAATTGTAATGCGTCAGAGGCGCTTTTCATGATTTACGTTCATCAGAAACGTTCAATGCCGAACATTTTGAAAGTCATTGATGTATAAGACCAGAAACTTATGAACAGCTATATGACGAAAAAGGACAAAAAGCCAAATCCATCTAAGGTCAACTTTGCCTGAGAGAGTTGGAACATACATTATTCATTATTTTTCGGTTGTCTCATGAGCAACAAAAAATGCTGGGTGATGTTATGCCACTATTATTGATTATTGTTTTATGAAATAAACAAGAAAACATCAGTTAAGCTTATGATAATTTATCTAACTTTGTAGTACACATATATTCTGGATTTACTGCAATTAAGGATGTTCCAATGACACCATCTGCTAGACAATGACAGGTATTGACTTTGTCCACACAGGGGAATGCTTCTCTCTCTTTGTAAATTTTACCGCCGTAACTGCAGGTCCCTAAAATGCAAACAGTAGATATGCATATATAAATATAGCTAAAAGGCTAAAAGTTAAAACAACAAGAATTGTCATTTGAGCTTTTGCAAATATATATACTTTTGTGGTTGCTGCCTCGTTTATAGTTTCGCTATTTTCGAAAATTATTGAAATTTGCTGTTACAAAATATTAAAAAATATTTGAAATTAAGGAATATATCTCCCTTATTCAAAGCTCTAATTCATTGCCCGGCTTTGACATTACTTTTTTTTCCATTTTTGGTTTTATCATCTCTTCAATTATTGAATAAAACTTGGATTTTCAAATATTTTGGCCTGGAGCATCACTAAAGACATTTATTGTCGAAATGCGCATCTGGTGCAGTTAATGTTATTAACTTGGATCGACTTTAACTTGCAGTTTTGTTGTACGCCTTGTAAAGCAATAGTAGATATGCTGAAACATGAATAAAAGGAAATATGGGGTACACCTCAATGAGACCTCAACCCAAAGACAGCTCTAAATCGTGTCGAGTCTATTAGTTTAAACATATTCTATTTGCCAAAAAACTCACAAAAAGGATTAGACACAAGTTAGTCCCACTTAGATCGTCTTCTCCTAAGATACAATATTAGACAATAGAATTGCATAGCATGCAAATATCAAATTTATTAGTACACAACATATAATCAAACATCTGTAATTTAAATGACATAAAAGAAACAGTATAGAAAAAGGAAAGATAGGAAGAAGGGAGAAAAAAATATGCATGTGTGTGTGCGCGTGTGGATCACTACATTCAACTTATACACATCATAAAAGAAGGAACCTTTTGGTCTTTTTTATATAATCAAAAATATTTCTAAATATTTCTTCATTTTGCTCATTTGTCAGATTTATACTACCCGATGTAAAAATCTCTAGATCCAACACAAGGTCAGCTGGTAACCAACTAAGACTGTTCCTTAGAATGTGACGTATATTTGTATATAAAGGACATTTAAAGAAGAAATGATTAGAATCTTCGCGTGGAAACCCACAGCGACAAGATGGATCTGATACAATATTTATTAGAAAGAGGTCAAAATTAAGGAATGAAGCTGAACATTAAATTGCGTTTAAATAATATTGAGGTTTCTTGGACCAAATGCATAGTAACTAGGAACTGTTTTATTACCTACTGTAGAACTCTTTTTTTTATTTATTTTTAAATTTTGATAAAGTTTTTGTTTTTCGCACGGATATGTCCAAGTCTATAAAAGTCACGCATAGGTGAACATTCAACTTACACAGATAAACATAAGTATAGAAGTATATGTACATGTAGTAAGTAAAAATGAGGTTAATGTTGTCAGACAGAAGCGTACATCTTACAATGCCTTTAGTTGCTAATATAGTTGACATATTACCCGTTAGACGGTAATGTGGAAACTACAATGAATCAACAGATCAAATATATATCACTACTTAAAGTAAAACACAATAACAGACTTAACTTTGTATTGATAAATGAACCATAAAATGGAGTGAAGGCCATCTACACCTTGTAATACTTCTATAAATCATATAAAGTTTATTTGTTCCTTATAGCGACTGAAATAAACCTACCTATTCACAAATGTTCATGTGATCAATGAAATATGAAATGCTGTATAAGTTAGCTGAACCAAGTCTGATCTGATGAGTTAAGCCCTTTTCAACTGATTTTTATAGTTTGTTCTTATGTTGTACTGTTACACCATTTTGTTACACCAGTTTGCTCATTGTTGAATGCCGTAACGGTGACCTAGTTGTTAACTTCTATGTCCTTTGGTCTCTGGTGGATAGTTGTCTCATTGGCAATCATACCACATCTTCTTATTTATATATATACGCCTTGTCAAGATTTTACAGACCAGGTACAGCATCAAAAGAGAGTCGAAAGATACCAAGTCGACTGTGCACCAAATACAACATAAAATACTCAAGACTGAGCAACACGAACCCCACCAAAATCCTGCTCCACATCTGGCACCCAGTCCAAAGTTAACAGTTAGAACAAGGACATAGGCTAGTTAAATACTTCAAATCATAAGTATTTTTTTTAAAAAGATATGGATTATCAAGCTCTTCTTCTTTTTGGATTATAAAGATTAAAATAAATAGTTTACAACGTCTTTGTCATCGGATGAAAATACCTATGTCTCGCATTCTGCGATAATGACATACGCTTTCTTGTATACGGAAGAATATTCGCATAAGGCATAATGTTATGTGAATTATGTTAACATATTTCTTTAGTGCATATGTATTCTTTGGTAAAGTGGATAAGTAAAGTTTATAGCACAGCCGAACAGTCGACAAGTATTTTAACATGCACCTCATGATAAATTTTAATACATTAAAAATACCTTGACAGAAGGGACATCCTGTTTCTGGTTTTTTGGGGTCGTCACATTCTGGTTCTGGACAATTCCATTCAATGCAGAAGGTGCTCAGTTCAGTTTTTATACACTGCCTGTGTCCATCAACGATCTCTGGAAGGTTGTCACCAGTATCATATACTTTACAAAGACCATAGTCCTGACTTGAATCTAGTTTAAAATATAAATGTAAAATGATTACCAGATGGAGGTACACATATATATATATATATATATATATATTATTTTAAATAAATCTTTATTTAGAGGAGTGAAAGCAGGACATGTTTATTGACTCAAGTCTCGCCGACTGCTCATTATTCTTACTCATCCGAAACTTTTTAGCGCAGTAGTTGCTTTTGTACAGATTGTATATGATCAGGTTTTGACAGTTTGGGATATATGTAAATTGCAAATTTTTATTATTGTTTTAGAGCTATTTGACTTTGTTCCGTTTTAACGAAGTATGCATTGTTTCCGGCAGATGTATGACCCCTACTTGTCCGTTTTGTATTGCAAAGTCTTACAGTTAGATAGTCGAGTTAATGCCTATATAGAGCTTTAACTATAATACTCAATAATTCAGTCCAATAATGTTAAACTACATTTTTTTGCATTTGCAAATTTTATATATTATTCTTCTATATTGTCAATTAGGTGGTGCATTTCTTGGTCGGATGAATCAAGGGTTGTGGCACAGTACAAGATGCATGGTAGCTTGGAGATTAGTATTATGTGCATCTTTATTTTATCGTATCGAGATATAAAATTTTCATACAGTATCATGTATTAACATTACTCTGATTTGCACTTTGAACACTCTAATTTGTTGAAAGTTTGGTAAAAATGAACACATGGTAAAAAAAGGGAAAACTAAAATATTTACAAAATAAAATCAAAATTCATAGCTAATGATTTTAAATATATAGTTGTAGCATATCAAACTAAGAAGAACTGGCCAATTTAATTTCGGGAAGTTGTTACTTTTAATCAGTTACGAAATCAAAATACTACATGATGATTCAACAAACATTTGTTTTGAATGGCAGAGAAAAAAAATCAATTTATTAGCATTCATTTTATAAATAACACATAGCTGAGAGGGTCATAGAGCAGATTGTTACCCCGAGAAAACATTGTCAACTGAAGCGAAGCCAAGGTTGACAATGTCTTTTCGAGGGGTAACAATCTGCTCTATCACTCTCTCAGATATGTGTTATTTAATTTATTATACTGAATGATCTGTTATTACTGTCTATTAAATTTCAAATTCAAAGTAATAAACTATGTCGTCTTGTACATAACAATCATCCGTATTTATTAAAGCGCACACTTGAGCAAGCGTCTCCGTGAAGGATAATAGAGTATTTGCCATGGGATAGAGTAAATTGTCTCCCTCGTATTAACCAATCAAAATCTGGCATTTTGACATGAAGTATAATAAAACCTGTTATCTTGCCCAAAGATCACAAAGTAACTAGTATCTGTTTAAATATGAGTTGTTAACGAAACCAAGGATTCATTCGTGTATTTTTCCAACTTATTAGGCAGGAAAAATTGAAGAGAATTTCATCTTGTCATATTTCTGGTTATTATTCATGTGTATTTAACCAGTACAACCAATTCTGAGGTCACCTCTGACATATAAAGGAATGTTCACGCAATAACCTAGTTCATACCTATTCTGTTTATCCCATTTAAAAGATTTTCTATTACGATTTCTAATATTATCGCATTTTACCGGACTTTCTACCTCATATTGCCTATCGCATTTTACGGGGCTTTTTTTTATCACATTTTACCATACATTCTTCCTCATGTTACATATCTTTTTGTAGTTGTTTTCCCCCCTTCATATCTGATCTGGTAGTAATGAAAAATCGCGAGTGTAGCTTTATCAGTAGACAAAGTTTGCTTTCGGTAAGGTCAATACAATTAAGACACTTACATATAAGGTCTACTTCAAACTCTTATGTTGAAGATTAACCCAAAGAGATAAATGTATCGATTATTGTACGTGTGAAATACTTCAGTGTTGCGCGTGTTACAGATGGTTGTCAACGTATATTTGTTCCTCCTAACAAATGTTCATCTGGAAACTTTGATATAAACAATGATAATAATCGGTTTCTGTCCGAAAACAATTTCTATACCATTTATTCCGTCAGGAACGAATACTGTTATATTCCTTCAAGTGGAAATAGTGTTTCCAGAATATTTCTTCCTTTTGTAACCAATATTTTGTAGGAACATTCCATGACATGATCACCCATTGAAGTGTAAGTTTTTTCCTGGGATAATTAACAGTGGTTTACGCTTAATTTGATGGCAACGCCGTAGGAGATCATATTTGAATTTTTTGAATTATTGCAGCTGACTTTTCAATACAAGTTCAGATGGTTAATATCTTCCAAGTGAGGTTTTGTTGGGTCTGTATATCATAGACAGCCATACGTAGGGTTTGGTTGCAATGGTGGAACAAATTTGCAATAAGAGGAGAATTGCTTATTCAAATCGCAACATCAATTACCTGGATTATAATTTATTACCCTAACAAATACAGAGATACATTTATTACCAAAACGAAAAGCAAAACTAATTTCAAAATTATAAACCTGGTATCTTGAAGATTTTTTCTTTACATATCCTGTATAATATTTAGTAAATTTTAAAACTAAAAGTGGACACTCAGATTGTTACACACAGATTTATCAAAAGACAATTTTATTGAGCAGAAAATAATCGGGTTTAATAAAGATTATGTAGTAGTGTATTATAAAGGATAGACAAATGAAAACTGTCAAAGGAGAACTACTCTCTTTGGAATACAGTTTGTTAAAGACTTCAAAAGAATATTTAAAACATCAGAAAACTTTCTGGAATAACCTTCATCTGGTATTCTCGAGATCAAAAATTCAGAATGTTAAATACATCAAACATTTAAGAGTACCTCAATGATCTGAACAAAACAACCGATATTACTCGTCAGTTCTATTCACTTTAAGGTATATATACATAGAATATAATTTAAAAATCTACAATCAAACTATTGATTACTTACATATGCTCTGGACCATAAGTAGCTGGAATAGCATCAATGTTGTATGTATGAACTGCATCTTTCTTCTGAACAAAAAAATGTTATGTATTTATCCGAACAAAGTGCAACTTTTCATTGTCAGAAAGAAGCAAAAATTATAAGCAAATTACTTTTTTTATATTTGTATATGTGGAATTGCATAATTTCAAAGGAAGTAAGAAGGAAATTATGACCTGTATAACAAGGTTACTATACAAAAAAGTACGTTGTTCCAATTCGGAACATTGTTACATTTACATCTTCTAGTCAGTATATCACCTATCAATATGGGCACTATCAACATCACTTCATTTACAAACCAAAGTGAAAGCAATTAATCGTACACACTTCAACTTATCACATGATTGATTGCCTAGTATTGCTTGGTTAAATCCCAGTGGCAAATATTTCAGTTCATGTTCAGGACGAAAGCAAATTAACAATTTATACAATTTTACAATCAGTAAGTTTTGCAAGGTAAAACAAATTAATGGCGGTAATTTGGACTGCCACTAGGAAATGAGGGTATGTTGATAGGGACAAAGATCTACCTTTCAACAGGCTACCTACGGACCCCTAAGAAAATTGTTGCTTGGGCTCTTTAACGAACCGAAAGCGTTGCACCCACTTTACATTAGACATCGGATTTAACGAAATCATTCCGACCAGACGTATTTATACATTCCGCATAATTAAAAGGACTCACTGCAAGGGTTTTACTGCCGGGCGGAAAAGTCCAAGGGACATATTTCAGGGGGGGGGGCAATATGGGGTCCGTTAACATGTTAACAACACCTAGATTTTGGCAAAAACAGTTAACAACAAATATAAAAGGCTGATAACAGTTAACACCAACTTTAATTATGAACACCACAGGTTTCAGTAGTGAAGCAAACAGTGCTTACTCTTCCGGAGCACCTTAGTCCACCTTGGTTTGGATCGGTTTCGTCAATATTTAAGTTTTTTGTTGGTCTTTTTTTTTTTACGGATTGGCACTTTTAGTCCCAGATGGCGGGACGCTTACCCTGGCAATGCGTCCGGTTTCACTCCTTCTGAAGATTAATAAATCATAAAAAGAAAGAATTTAAAAACTACAAGTTATTTAGAAACATGCTATCCGCCCATATAAATAAATGTAAGACTGACTATTTCTCCAATGCTGTACAGTCTAATTTAAAAACTAGTAAAATCTGCAAATAAATGCAGAGTCAAAATGCCCAATAACAAGTGTTACTTTTCAAGGATCTGAGGTCAATGAACTAGGAAAAGTTTGTGAACACTTCAATCAGAATTTCAGTACTGTAGCTGAATCAATTATTCCTAACCCCAAATCAAATTTCGAATCCCCAAAGTTAAAAGAGTTTATTGAAGAAAAAAGTTGGTGACAACTATTATAAATTTTATTGTTTATCTCCAATAGAAGTTTTGAATGAACTATTAAAAGTTAAAAATTGATAAATCTACGGGTTTGGATGATGTTGGTCCTAAAATTCTAAAAATAAGTGCTCCAAAATTTTTTGAATCTGTTGCTCATATTTTTAATTTAAGCCTTTGTACAGGTACATTTCCATCGACCTTTAAGTGTGCAAGAGTATCACCTATCCATAAAAGTGGCGACGTAAATGATATGAACAACTATAGACTAATATCTGTACTTCCATTTTTATCAAAGATTTTTGAAAAGATTATTTATTCCCAAATTTACAAATATTTGATAACATTTGATTTGATTTATAAGTACCAGTCTGGGTTTAGAGACGGCCATTTCTGTCACTCAGCTCTAACGAAAATTGTTGAAGAATTGTTAATTAACATGGATCAAGGAAACTACACGGGAGTTGTATTCTTAGATTTTAAAAAAGCTTTTGATATGTAAATCACTCAATTTTATTATCAAAATTAGAAATGTATAAGTTTGATTCTTTTTCTTTTAAATGGTTCAAATCATATTTATCAAACAGGTCTCAAAAAAGTAAGAATAAATACCAACATATCTTCAGGTAAAAAAGTAACATTTGGTGTACCGCAAAAACTGCTATTCCTTCAATTTTTTTCCTTCATTTGTACCTTTTGAATTGATTTTTTAATTTTTTTTATTTGAACATAGGAAAAGTACTGTTGCTTCCATTTTGGCCATGGTGTTGTCTATATTTCATCTGATCTACGGTCTTTGATTGCACCCTCGGGGTAGGTATCTTCTTACACTTGTATTTGCATTCGTGATGGTAAAAGGTCTTGATGGGAGGTCTTAATTTCTGTTTTAAATTTATTTTTAAGGACATTTTTCTCAATTCTTTATATTTTTTGTCCATTATTCTCTATTCTATTTTTTACCACCCCATTCTTCTTTATTCTTTATCTTTATTACCATTTGTTCGAATCTTTATTTTATTTGCCCCTTAATCTGTGAACACCATCGAGACCATTATGATTGCTACTGGATATGACATTAGTATCTTATGACGAGTAAGGAAGACAACAGATACCGATCCTCTCTATACTCATCTGATCTCACTTTGTTTGGATATTACGCGATTCCGTCTGTTTTCCACTAACTTATGTCGGTTATTACCTTAACCTTCATATTATCAGCCAACTTACATAGTGGTGAAAATATTGTGATTAAGCAATTTAAAATAATAACAATATTGTTTTTTTAAATGAGCCTTTTAGTATAGTTCCATTGTCTTAAACATCTTTGGCATTCTGGTCTGTCCAAAGACAGTTACATTTATGCTGTTTCTGTTACTCTTTTGAGGGAGCACCATAAAGAAAGAGATTAACAGCAAATTTAATGTGATTAGTGTGAATCTTGAAAATGCTTGTAAATAACAGTTAACAGAGATACATTATGTCAAAAACAGTGAACACTTTAAGTGTGAAGTAACAGATGACAGGAATCCCATTTTCATATAAAACAGTTAACAACATTGCCAATTTTAACAGAACAGATAACAGACAGTGGGTTGAAAACAGTTATCAGTTTATATATATTTCAACACTTTGAAATAGCCCAAAACAGGTTAACAGAAAAAGGTATTGCCCCCTCCATTTCATACCCTTTAACCAATCCTTTGGTTTGAACTTATCATTTGCGATGATTCTAAACTGTGTTGCGTTAGCTTTCAAAATACAAATGAATATTATAATTTGTAAATATCATTTTATTAAAAAAAAATAAAAAATCGATATTTCTTTTTCAAATTTGTATGATGAATCTTTGATAATCCGGAATGACATTTTTAACTATATATTGCATTGATCAAAGTCCATTACCAGTGGACATACATCTGTTTTAAAACTATATGTCAACTACTCGTTACTCCTTACAATTAAAAATATCAATTCTTAGTATAAGAAGTTGTGGTACGATTTCCAATGAGACAACTTTCCACCTGAGACCAAATGACGTTGAAGTTATCGTACGGCCTTCAAAATAACTTGTTTCAAAACTTACCTGTTATCTGAACCAATATATAGAAACTGCATATTCCTGAATTGTGTTCTGCTGTTTGTTTATACTATGTCCATATTGCCTGTAACTAAAACAACACATGTCATGTCACAACGCCAAACAAAAGGTAATTTATAACCTATCATATACAACTGTATATTAGAAGTTAATTAATTTCAAAATTGTTTCACTGTTTGCCCTTCAACGATCCGAAAGACCAACATATATATGAAAAATATTAAGCATGACAACTGTGTTATCTAAAGATCATTACTTAATTGTGCATAACAGTAAACTAAATATTTTGATACTCTTCTCAAATTAGGTTCCTCTTTCTGCGATTTCCCTATTCCTTTGTTATGATATCTCGATCCTCAATAAAAATGACCACGTCAATTTATGTAACTATCAACAAGAGCTACAATGTAAACCTTTCTGAAAAGGTATGAGTGCTTTGCAGTATCATAGATTTACGTCAGCTTTCATTTTTGTGTAAGCGTCACATGAAAACTTAAGGGGAAGATACAGTTTTTATATTTTATTTCATAAGTTTTTATTAGTTTGGTTTTTTGGTTTGGTTTGTTTTGTATTTTTTTATTTTCGGATACTTTTATTAAGGTTTCAGGTTTATTAGTAATATGGCACAGAGTGAGATCTAAAAGCAAACAAGCTTGTGAAGGCAAAATGAGCGCCATCCGCTCCGAGTGTCAGAAAGAGGGATTTTGATAGGAAAATATAACACAAGAATGTTAAGAACAAAACAGTCAAATTGGTTCTATTCGAATCTCCTTTATTACACTGACAATTCTAAATTTGTGTACTCACTTTTATGAATGGAATTGTTTCCTGTTAGAAGTCCATTGATACCCTCGATTTTACTGTCATACAAGAAGGAGGTTAAGCTACCTCTAAAACCATGTTTATCCCACCATTTTCTTCGGAAAATACCTGTATCATGTCAGGAATATGTTTTCCATTCTTTACGTTAGTTGATAAAGTCTAACGTTTGATTTTGTCAATTTTTATGGACTTCCTCTCTTTTTGAATTTACTTTAGAGTTTGGTATATTTGTTATACTTTTTTATTGTCACATAAACAATTACTGTATTTAACATGTGTTGGTACATTAATGCACTATAATTAACATTTATCATGTAGTGATGGTGGAACGTTATATACTTGCGTGTTGCTTTGTTGTATTTTTTTTTTAAGTTGAGTTAACGTTCTAGACTCATACTTTCTTAATTGTATAATATGATTACTGAGTAAACGCATAAGTGAACAGAGCAGCGTGATACAAAGCAACAAGGCATAGTGTACTTTTCAATAAGAAGCACCAAATAATTTAAAAGACAATATGACAAAAAGTTATGATCATCATTAAATTATCAAAAAGAGAGATTTCAGTCACTGCCGGGAATATAGAGGATAATTTTACCAAATTGAATACAGTCAAGATGTTACATGTTCACATATGATTGTGATAGTTTCTTGTTTTAATATATATCATCTGTAACACTGTTGACAATTTAATAACCTACAAATACCGATGAATTAGTAGACAGACAAAAACAAAAAATTGTATAAAACATTTTTGTTTAAAGTTCCTATAAATAAAGGCGATGTGTTTTTTTCTCTCCAAACGGTATATCAATTTCAAACTTATGCACTTTTAAACGTACACTCAATTTCCAGTGGTAATTTTCGCCTCTTATACCGGCCCACACACTTTACAGAATATACCTATTATATCTTATTGTTTATTTGTTTTCATCCTGAATATTCTTAAAATATTTGCCATTGGACTTTAGGCAAAAAATAAATCATATAACCATTTATGAATTTTGACCCTGTCAGCATGGGAAGTTACATGTACAGACCACTATTCAAAATCTACTATATATTTTTTCTCTAATTTGATTTACAGTCAGATTGGTCCAAATTTTTAGCAATTAGTTAAACCTAGTATCTTAGCAGAGCGAACTTCTGGTTTTAACAAGCAGCCAAATCAGAAAAAAGCTCATAACTCCGAAATGCAATGAAGATTCACTTTGTACGATAATGCATCACACAATAGCGGATTGGTAATCGACTATTATCTAACCCTAAGACATCACTAAATTCGTAAACCATCCGTCATGTAAATTTTCTAACCCCGAAACTTGACCGAGTGTGAAATTTTGAAATTGAAACGACGGTAACCTGTCATTGAAAAATTAAAAAGCACTTAAGACTAAAGCAAGAGAAACAAAAACCCCGTTGAAACAAAACTAAGGGATGGTCGCAGGTGCCCGGAAAGGTAAGCAGACCCTGCTCCACATGTGGCACCCACCGTGTTGCTCATGTAAGTACAGACCCGGTGATAAGTCTAATTCGGTGGGTCACATTCGGGGAAAAGGAGGACGGGCCTGTGGTTACGACAATTGGAAAAGAGAGGCAAAATATACCAGAGGGACATTCAAACTCATAGGTCGAAAATGAATTTGACAACGCTAAAAAAGAAAAAGACCAACAGACAAACAATAGTACACAAAAACACAACATAACATATCTGTTGTCAACAGACATTCCATAACGGTCAACAAAACTCGTGATTGCGTCCGTAAAATTTTCAAAGGATTGATTTCAACTCTACCACTTGGAACTCTTGGTTCAAAAGCTTCATTGTGAGCAGCAACCCTCTAAAATATGCTTCCTTAGAAAAATGTTGTTGAACTACATTTGTATTGAAATAGATCTTAAAAGAATTGTACAGTATTCCAAAGTCGATCCTTTTCTTACAATTTATTTTACCTTGTTTAAACAGTCAATCTAAGATGCTAAGTATAAAGCAAACAACAAATATATATGAGATAGATTAACTATTAAATTTCATCCTTGACCAAAGTAAGGGAATCGCCACCGCCTATGGACATCGATTCGTTTTCAGCGGCGATTAATTTTTGTCTTACCTCTGTATCTTCTTCCCTTCTGTGGAGAAGCAATACATCTGCATGTTGAACAAGTGCTCTATTTATGCACAGTGCTCGTATTCCCTCCACTATTAGAATTCCATTTCATCAAGAACAATGTTTGATAATTTTGTGAGAAGAATTGCTTCTTGTTTCATCTTATAAAACATGGCCTGATTTTTGTTGGAAGTTCACATGCGTTGTTTGTAGGTGGCGTTGTTCAGTTGTTAAATTGTCGGTTGCAACCTTTTTTAGATGTTACAGTTTGTAAAAAGGATTAATAAAAATACCGAACTCCAAGGTTAATTCAAAAACCGAAGGAGGAAGTCCATAAAAACTAACAAAATAAAACGTTAGGCTTTATCAACTAACGGAACGAATGGAAAACAACTGTCATATTCTTGAATTTGTACAGCTGTTTCTGAAGAAAATTTCGGATTAAACCTGGTTTTATAATTAGCTAAACCTCCCACTTGAATGGCAGTTGTTTATAGTTCTGTTATAATAAAAAAAATGGGTGAGCAATCCAAACATACATAATAGGTTAATGTGACAATAATTTGGATCCAATAGCCAGAACTGTGTAAACATACTTACTTTACAGACATACAACACAACTGAATAAAAGATTCAAACAAGCATACAAATAAATCTAGCAAAGACGCAAACAAACAACTTTTTGTTTGTACATAATAGTACATGCAGTATATAGTATACACTATCTCGACAAATTACAAATAAAGTAAAATATAAATACAAGGGTAAACAAAATGAAAACAACACTGTAAAAACCTCTTGCGTCCGAATCGCACCCCTGGTTCCACCTACACTAGAAGCGCCCCAAACCAAAAACCCCATAGCTGTATGAATTAATACCGAATCACGCCAATAGTCATACGACCAAAAGGGACATAATAGCACAAAGACAAACAAAGGGAAAACTGTACAGTAAATAAAACGATACACAACGTCAGTACCCAGAATCTTTAAATCAAGACCATCTTGTATTGTTTGTGAAGACGACGCTGAATATATGATTATCTATTAGGTATTGGTACTTCTCGATAAAGTTTTTGAGAAAAAAGACTATACTCCATACTCGGGTGAAGCTGGTATATTGCTGCAAAGGTGAGCTAGGAAAATTTATAATTTCGAAATTGAAATCGTCTCGGTTGTCATAGATTCTAGTACTAAGATGACCATTGTAGTCAAATTTATAGTATATCGTCTCTATCAGACGATTATACTGGATTAAACCAGTCTCTATCAGACGATTATACTGGATTAAATCAGTCTCTATCAGACGATTATACTGGATTAAACTAATCTCTATCAGACGATTATACTTGATTAAACCAAAGGCATGTACAAATACTTAACACCATTGAAGGTACTATCTTTTATCAAACACATCCGGTTTTACTAATGTTCATTGCATAGATAATATTACAGATAAGCACTCAGCATCATCCAATATAAGGATAGATAACTTCTACTTATTTATACTCTCGATATTACAATCCCTTCCTTTTTTCTAAACTAAATGAAATGAAATATCTAAACTAACTTAGAATGAATATAGAATCATTTAAAACTTAATAACTGTTATCCATAGAATTAGTCAAAGGTTTCATAATATTTAATGTCAGTGAAAAACTTTCCTAACTGATTCATACTTAGATTTGACTGTATTTTGCCGCTCAATCTCTCCATTAGCTTGCGGTAAAGAGGTGTTATCCTACGGTGCGTGATGTCATTCTGTTCACAAAATTGCTTAAAATACTGATAAATTTGGGTCCATTGTTAGTGGTTATGCATATGAATAATCCATGAGTTACGAACATTTTGCCCAATGCTTCAACGGTTTTTTCAGCGTTGGTTGTTGACTTCATAACGGCAATTTCGGTCCATCGCGAGTAGTAGTCTACAACGCAAGACAAAAAATGCCTTGATGGAAGTGGTCCAAGGTAATCAGCTGCTAAATGTTCCCATGACGCTAATGCAGTCCTTTGAATTGGTTCGGGTCTTTCCGGTTTAGACACTGATTGACATCCATAGCATTGTCGACATCACTGTTCAATGTCACGGTCTATGTTAGGATGGCCTTCATGTCCAAGCTTTAATATTCGGTCGCGAAGTTCGCTCGGTACTACAATT